TTTTCCTGCAAGTTTGGGCCAGAAACGTGGGTGCACATTATACACAGGACCACACCGTACATGGTAAAATGGGGTATCTTAAAACACATAATCCCACCACCTCCAGTGGGGCGGTTTGGGGCCCATTTTCTTCTCATCATTTTTCTTCTCTCATTTTTCCCTCAGATGGGTTATCCTCAGCCTGGCAGACTTTGAAAACTTGGTGAACTTCTACTTTTCTTAATATGCTAATTATAATGAATTTCTTGTTTTTTCAACCAACAGGAAGATGAAATTTTGAACAGATCACCAAGAAACAGAAAGCCTCAAAGAGAGTGAAATTATCTAAGAACTTGATCTGTGATTTCCTCTCCCTCCCCTTCTCCTGCAAGCGGGGTCCTAGGAGAGGACCTGGCACACCTTCCGTGGAAACTCAGAAACCCTCCAGATGTCACCTTCCGCAGTTTCCGTCGAACACTAGCCCGTGTCACGTCAAACACCCAGCAGTAAATAATTGCAGTTGTGACAAAAAGGACCCTGTTTATGTAGAAAGAAAGCATTTAACATAATGGTCATGAAACGTAACATGAAGCAACTAACTTGTATTTTTTTGTTGTTGTTAAAACATCTTTTTTTTTTAAATAGAGTGATAGAATTTTGCCAATCTTTAAAAAATCTTGGCTTAATTTAATATATTAATGTGTCCATGCAGAAATAACACCAACTTTTAGAAATGCTAGAGGGATGAACTGCAGTTTGTACAATGTTTTGCTTTAAGTTGGCATTACAAAACATTCAAGTGTCTCTGTCCCTTAAAAGTGACGATCATGTTTAATGTGCAGTTGTTTGTGGTTATAATCTTGTGTTACTTGCTTCCACTGCTCAAATCCTCCTAAGGAAATTGAGGAGAGGGATTGATGGAAGCCCAAATTTATATAAAGGTTCTGTTTAAATTGTATTAAAAATGCACATGTAAAAAGGAAAAAACTTCTCACTTGATGTTCGTTGACCATAAAGAGTGTGCATTCTTATGCTCTTGGAACAGCTCATTTCCCAGACAGCTTTGTGGTCAGTGGAGGAGGTGGCATCCCAGCCTTGGTAGCCACATACCAGTGGTGTCTGGGCTGCGGCCCTCTCGAGCAGGTGTCTGTAAGGACCGCTACCAGAGGACATGCGAGCTTGAGGGTAGAGGCAGGTGTTTTCATCCCAGTTCCCACCCCCACAATGTTGACACTGTTTCTGCTCCATTTCCCCAGGTCCCTAGCATTTTGCTCTGCTCTGCATTCTCTTCACAGCGCAGCTTGCTGCTCATTGCTGGAAATGATGATAAGCTCTGCATAGTGCTAAGCTTTATTGTGATTGTGTGTGTTTCTTTTTTAAGCAGACCCACACCTTTCCAGGGTCAAAGTACAGGATAGAATACTATCTTTTCATTTTTTTAGTCCATTTCTTTTACTCTGTGTAAAGACAAGAAGTCTAATCCAGAGGTGAGCCAATTCAGAATTGACTGTAATTGAACACAGGCTAAAAGTATTGATGGGAGGGGTGGCATAGAGCATGAGTTACCTGATTTTTGTAGCTGCTAAACCTTTTATTTTTTCATTTGAAGTTCATGTAACAGTTGTGTCTTTAATTACATGATAAAGCAGCCCTGTTAAAAATGAATTTTTTTTAGTATGTGACTTCTAGAATTTTTTTAAACGTGGTATTAGGTTTGTTTTTTCAGATAGAATGCAGATGGGTGCTACCAGAGCCTCTCCCCCAGCACAGTGGCGTGATCTCATTACTACACCACACTGAAGTGTATTCAGAATTAAACATTCTTTCAGCGTTCTGCTTTCTTCAGAGATATTTCCAATGTATTGATGATACTGTTCCTTGCACTGAATATATAAACACTCCAGAGTGTTTATATTGGGTAGATATTGGGGAGGAAGTATATTTGTAAAAGATGAAGGTTGTATCTGTTTATTTTATCTTCATTTTTTTGCTGGTTCACTTAAATTCCTATGAGGGTGAGATGCATTTTTCTTGCTGTTCAATGCTTTATTCTTTTCATCTGTTGTTCTGTGGTCACAGTGACCTTAGCTATGTAGCAGACTTTCCCAAATGTATTGAGTGAGAATAAACAGTTACTTAGCAAGACTTGAAAATATGTCTGCAGGTTTCTCCTTGAAGCAAATGTGTGGGATCATTGCATGCCAGAAATCGGGCCTCCTTCACTCTCCATTGCCTGTCACACCGCACAGTTTTTCTCCACTGAGCTGTGGAATGATGAGTGTAAGTCGGTAGAGTGTCCATTTGCCTTTGCAGGGTTATTTAGCAAAGTTTGTCCAAAACAAAACAAGTCTTTTTTGGTCTATTTTTCACTTTTTGTTCAAGTTGCAACCTCTCGACTATATGTCTGATACATGAGTGAACGACCAGCCGCAGCTCTCACCTCTGTAAAAGGCACTTGCGTGGACTTTGCGTGCTGGCTGTCTTCTGCTGTTGCAGAACGCCTTCTCCGTCAGATGTGCTCCTCGGTTTCTCTCGTCCACCGAATCCTTTCCACTTTTCTCAGATTGTCACGTTACTAAATGGTATTACATTAAAGCCCTGTGTTAAGCATCTGCTTTTGACTGAGCTTCTTCATAGTAACCTTTAATTTGTGCGTTTAACAGTTTCACAGTGGGTTAATCTTCCTTTAATTGGCCACTACATGAGAATTTGCTAATGGGCAGAAACTACTATGAATGGTGGAATAATTATCGTCATCCCTTGAAATCCATAGGAATTACTGGTTCCAGGATCCCCAAAGATACCAAAATCTGATGATGTTCAGATCCCTAATAGAAAATAGTGCATAGTATTGGCATATAATGTACACATATTCTCTAATATACTTTTATCTCTAGATTACTTACACCTAATACAATGTAAATGCTATTTAAATAGTTGTTGAACTGTACTGTTTGGGAAATAATGACGACAAAAAAGCCTGTACATGTTTAGTACAGATGCACCTAGACCATCCTGGGCCTAACTCAGAGATTTTCGGCATTTTTCATCTTATGGCACATATAAACTAATTATTAAATTTCTGCAGCACACCAAAAACTATATGCCAACCTGACCAAAAAAACTAGGTATAATTTTGATTCATTCACATTTGATGACTTATGGTGTTGGCTGTTTGTTTTTTTGACAGTCTAAAGGAAAACAGGCCAGTGCCCCTGACCAGATAGTCACATGTATGTAAAATTTTCTGCAGCACTGCTGGCCTATCTACATAACACATGTCAGCAACGAGGGAACTTTTTTCCAAATATTTTCCATCCTTGGTGATTGGTTGAATTTGACAATAGGGACCCCTCTGATACTGAAGGCCAGCTGTACTTTCACCATGTGGATTTGGTCCAGTCCCGCTGGACTTGGATTTGTTGGGGTTCAGTACTTTTTGTTGTATCAGAGGGATAACAGTTCGTAAAGGGAGGGGTAATTTGTAGATAAGTTTATTTAAGATTTATGGGAATCATTGAACTTTAAATGGTTTTCAACAAATTTTCAGAATCAGACTTCATGTTTACATGTTCATATTTCAGGGAGGTTTTTGAAAGTTAAGCCAAAACTTTTCCAATATGCTATTTAAGACTTTTTTGGTTTGCTTCCTGAAGAGAAATAGACAAAATGTAGTGTTTCTATTTCTGTTCTTTTTTCTATCAGAAGATAAATGTTTAATTGCGTAAAATTTATATGTTGAAAGACTCCTAAAAAGCAGGCCCATATGGCATTTGCGAGCTCTAAGCACTTTTGCCTTGGTAGGCCACTTGTAAATTTTTACTGTATTTGTATAAAAAATAGTATTTGAATAAGGCCTCTTTTTAATTTTCAAATGAAACATTGTGGGTCCTAGTAAAAAGTTGCTGGAACATCTATTTGAGCTGCATTGATGGTGCCTAGCAACGTACAGCCTCCTGGCACCTCCTAATTTTTTAGCAATGAAGGTAGTAGGTCTCTTGGCCCAATATAGACTAACCAGTTTCATTGGTAACTCATCCCTCCTGTATTTGACTACTATTTATAGCAGTAGAGGGTAATTGCCTTAGGTTGGATTGAGTGGCCCCGTTTTGCCTAATAAGATCACCTTTTATACCCTGGCTGGTGTGGCACAGTGGATTGAGCGCAGGCTGCAAACCAAAGGGTCACTGGTTAAGATTCGGGGCATATGCCTGGGTTGCGGCCGGGTTCCCAGTGGGGGGCGTACTAGAGGCGACCACACATTGATGTTTCTTTTCCCCTCTCCAAAAGTACATAAAATCTTTAGGGGGAGGAAAAAAGACCACCTTTTAAAGGTGAGGCTTGCAGGCCAAACTCCCCAAAGGAAGCATCTTCCTTTGCCGTTCCCGTCCCCACTAACAGCTAGACTCTTACCCAGATCCTCCGCGTCACGTGTGCAGGGGCTTTTATTTTTTTTCTAAGTAGTAACTGAACTTTTGAAACTTGTTCCAGTTTTTTTTTTTTTTTTATAAAAGTGGAAGTTAACAGCCTCAATGATTCAGAATGGTGCGGGAACGAATCTCTTTCTAGTTCACTCGTGAACTTCTGACCAATGGAGAAGCTGGAAGTAAGGAAAGAGGTCGAAGACAAACAGCTGACTGAAAGAGCGTGGCCACTTTTGAGTTTATCTGAGCCAACTTCAAAAATGCTGCCGGAGAGGAAAATGGTGACGCGCAGAGGGCCCGGGGAACGCCTGGGTCTGGCCGGCCGCACCGCGCCCACTGCCCAGCGTTCCACCGCGGACCCGGAAGGGCCTGCCCGCGGGGGGCGGTGATCGGGGGAGGGATCCCGTGCGTCACACGTGGCGGCGTGCCCAGGCCTAGAGGCCCGCCCCTTACTTCAGAGTTCCTTTTAAACTCCGCACGGGAGCCCCGCTGCGCCTCCGGCGCGCTTGCCCCCGCCCCTCGGGCGGCCCTCTGTTTCTATTCTGATTGGTCGCAGCCCCTGCTCGTCAGCGGTGACGCCGAGGTCGCCTGCCGGGGTCCCGCCCTCTTCCGAGAGCCCTGAAAACAATTTTAAGATGGCGGCGACGGCGGCGCGGAAAACAATGGGCCCGGGGCGGCGGGGCCAGGCCGAGGTCTGAGGTGGGCAGCGAGCGCCGGCCGGGGTCGGGCCGAGCGGGGCCGCAGGAAGGCCCGTCGCCGCGCGCAAGCCCGCTCCGCAGCTCGCGGGGCCATGGCGCGGCCGTGAGGCGGCCGGCCCCCGGCGGGGAGCGCAGCCCGCAGTTCCAGCCGGCCTGAGAGACTCGCCCCGGGCCCGGCCCGTGCCGCCCGCGGCCCATGGTGCTGCCCACCTGCCCCATGGCGGAGTTCGCGCTGCCGCGGCACAGTGCGGTCATGGAGCGCCTCCGTCGGCGCATCGAGCTGTGCCGGCGCCACCACAGTACCTGCGAGGCCCGCTACGAGGCCGTGTCGCCCGAGCGCCTGGAGCTCGAGCGCCAGCACACCTTCGCCCTGCACCAACGCTGTATCCAGGCCAAGGCCAAGCGCGCCGGCAAGCACCGGCAGCCACCCGCCCCGGCCGCCGCCCCGCCGCCAGCCCCGGCCCCGCGCCTCGACGCTGCCGACGGTCCGGAGCACGGCCGCCCCGTCGCGGTGAGTAGGGCACGGAGCGCGGGGCCGCGGCCCGTGCCGCTGCGAGACCGCCGGGTGCCTGCTGCTCCCGGGCCTGGCTCCGGGCGGGCGAGCCTGGCAGGGGCCGAGCGGTTGTCACCTGCGGCAAACGGCACAGTGGCATTAGTTTAGGAAAACATGACTGGGAAGACCTTATGTTACGGCTCCGGTTGGGAATGCTAGCGAACAGGAGCTGAAAGGTTTTCCTCCCAGACTTGATTCTGAAATTTTGAGAACTTCTCTTAAACTCACTGGTCTTAGAAAGCCCGTGACAGTTCCCTCCCTTACTCCGCAGATGTTTATTGGGTGCTCGCTGTTTGCCGGTTCGTGGCTCGCGTATGGAGGTCAGTCAGCCTTCATTGGGTGAAATCAAACTGTTCTGAATGGAGACATCCAAAGTCTTCGGAAACCTTTGAATTGCATAGGCAACCCTGAAATGTGTGAATTTGCGATTGCAGCAATATTGTAGACAATTCCTGTGTTCATTTATGAGGCTATTTAAAATTTCTGATGATACAGAGAGTTCGTTGGTAAATGATTATGTCCTATGTGTTGTCAGTAGCTGTTTGGGGGATTTGTTGGATGGAGGCTTTCTTTCCTGAAACTGATTTATAAAGGGGAGAGAACAAAGGGTTTGTTGGTGGAGACGGTGGTGATTTAAAGTTTAAAACAACTGTTACCAATCTAATTTGTTCCATGCATTTTTCAGTTCCTGTCTTCACCTGGGCTGTGGCAGTACCCATCCCTAACTGGCCTTTAGGCATTCGGTCCCTGTTTCTGTCTCTAAATGCTGTGTCCCCCATAGGTTCTGTAATCTAATGGAATTATTTTCCATATTCTCTCCCACATCATTCAGGGCTGCTGGACGTTTCATTGATTATTACTTACTGATGAGTCAGGTCTTCTTGTCCTCACTTTTCTCATCTGGAAACTGCAGATATGTTTAGCTTCTTATCCTCTCGGATTCTTACAAAGTTCAAAAGAAATGATTGTGGAAGTGAAAATACTTTCACGAGAGGAAAGGATCCTTCTCCAACCTGGGAGAACCCCGCCATCCTTCAGATCTAGCTCATCTTCCTCTCCTCGAAGCTAGTTTCTGACTACACTGGCCCACAGCAGTCAGAACCCACTTTGTCAGAACATTTAGGAAACTCATCTGTGCTGTTTATTTTTAGCACATGGTCGCATACTGCTTTGGCCACGTCTTTCCAACTGGACCGGAAACCCTGGGAGGCAGGTCAGGGTTGGACTCGACATTCATTACACGACTTAGGCTCCAGCACAGGTTTGTTGAGTGTTGGATCTTAAACTTGTTAATATTTAGTAATTATCCTCCTCTGTGCTAACCTCAAAAAGCAAAATGGCTTAATTTCATGATGCCTTTACTCACAACTGTTGTTTTAAGCAAAGACTTGAAGGGGAGTGGGGCTCATTCCAATTTAAGTAATTAATGAAAGCTCCTAAAAATCTTAGTTTACATGCAGATAGTTGCCTTAAACACTCCCTAGAAAGTATATTAGTGATGATTCAGTTTGTTTAAAGAGAGAGAGAGTGTAGATGCTGCATGGTATTTTTAGTCCCGAATTACTGGATTGAACAGAAATTTGGCATATTGTTAGAAGTTAAATTGATTCTCAGTGTGTTAGAACTTGAATCTGGCTTGTCAGCTGTTTCTTTGGGTGTCAGAGCCTGATCAGATGTGCTGTGCTGGGTTGGTGTCTCACCACATTCACCCCTTGAGCCACGGATTTCATGGGTTTAAACTTTAAAGTGGAAGGGTCCTTCTCTCCCTACTAGAAAGAGGGCTCCTTTCATGTCAGTGTGCAAGTGGGTCTGGCTGAGCTCTAGGTCTTGGAAGGGGGTGGGCAGAATGACAGTGATGGGAGGGTCAGTGTCGCTGAGACAGCAGAGGTGGTTTCTGTTTTAGTGGCTCCTTCCCAGGGCTAGAGTCCTGACCTGGGCAGGATTTGGGCTTGGAGAGGGGCGAAGGTTCCTCTAATGGTTATTTTTGATAGTTGAAAAGTGTATTTACTCTAATTAATATTCCTTGCATAAGGAATTTTACTCTTACTTTTTTTCCAGTTATACTGAAGCACTTGTAGGCAGGTGCTTCGTAGCTCCAGTTACCATCCACAGACCGTTTGTACAGCTGCAGAGGAATCAAATTTACCAACAGAGTTCACTTCTAGGTGTTCTTCTCCTCTGCTGTCCCCCCACAGCAAGGCCTTTCCCACGTGGTCTGCTCGCTCTGCTAAAGAGGGTTCGAAACAGGGCTTCTCCTCCACCCCAGTGCCAGGTGTGGGTCCCACTGGGTGCACCCTCACACAGCAGGGCAGCGAGGGCGGACTTCTTCTTCTGAGGAATGCTAGATTATAGTTACCTGCCCACTTTATAAGAACATTTGTTTTGTAGTGAGAATAGTCTTTTACAATAGCTTGCACATTTTCATTTAGTAAAACACTTTTAACGGTTTATGCATTGTCCCTTCATCCACCATTGTTATTCTTTTGCTGCCTATTCCTTCAGTAGTTGAAATAATCTGTGTAGAAATTTGACAGTTGCATGTCACATTCTTGATTTCCTGGAAGCTGCCTTTCCTTCTTAACTTAGGTGTGCAAACTTTTTATTTGTACATAATTTAAAACAGCAAACCTTCACAAATAATTACAAAGAACATCTACATGTCCTTCATTTACATTCTACCCAGTGTTACCAGTGTGCCCCATTTGCTTGTGTCCTAGCCTTCTCTCTTCTTCGTACTTCTCACCCTTTTACTCCCTCTTCTTCCCCATCTCCCCCTACCTTCGTTCTCCCTCACTCCTCTCTCCCCCTCCCTTCCCCTCTAACTTCCTCTCTCCCCTCCTCCTTTCACTTCCCCCTCCCCCTGCCCTCTCTCCTCTTCCCCTTCCCTCCCTCCTCTTCCCCTTCCCTCCCTCTCCCCCTTTCTCTTCTTCTCCCCTTCCCTCTTACCACCTCCCTCTCTCTCTCCATCTCTCCCCTCCCTCAACTCCCCTCCCCCTCTCTAAAACTTTTATTCTCTGAACTACCTGAGAGGACGTTGCACACCTCATAGCTCTCTACCCACAAACACGCCACACCCCAGTGGGTACCTGTACCTTCTAAGAATTAGGAAAGATGTGCAGATTTTTAATAATGATTTTGTAGACTAAAATTATATAAGAATTATACAAATAAATTAATTCCAGGAAGTAGATATTTCTGAACATAAAACAGACATGGTACTGTAGTCATGTAGGATAGTTTCAGAGGAAAGATGACTGATGTGGCTTTAGGAACTCACCTTTTCCCATAACATCTGGGGCCTCCTCCCCACACCCTCTTTCCTTCTCTACTCCCCTTTCCACTACATCCTTCCCTTCAGCTCAAAAGCACAAGCAACTATTCTTTCTCTTTCTCACCCTCAAAATAGTGTTCCATCTTCTTCCTTCCCTTTGCCCTTTCCACTGAACTTCCCCCCCTTGCTCATGAGCCCATTGTGATTTGCCTTCTACCTCTTCTACTTTTCTGAAGTCCCCTCTTTAAAGGACACCAAAGATGGGAGTTGCCAAATTTAGTGGCTTCTTAGTCATCATTCTTCTTGACTTCCTCCTTCTTAAGACTCTTCTGTTAGCTTCCACCCTCTTCTGATTTTCCTTCCAGCTTTCTGTTTTTTCCCAGTCTCCTTCCTGCTTTCTGTTATAAATCATGCGACAAATATTTAAGTGCCTACTGTGGGCCAGAGCATATTTTAGGCACTAGAAATACAGCAGTGAACAGGATAAATTAAAACTCTATTCACACAGGGAAGGAAGTAATTTTAAAACTTAATTTTTTATTGTAATAAATGCTAGGAAAAATGAGAAGAGTGATACTGAGTGATTTACAGTGCCAGTTTAGATAAGATGCTTTGTCTTAATTCGGGCCTGAATAATAGGAGGCTGTCAGCAGAGTCTGAGAACATTCCATTTGGACCACCAGCTCAGTCTCTGAGGCATGAAGAACCGTAAGGAAGTCAGTATGGCCAGTAGGCAGCTGGTGTGAAAGATGGGGATGAGAGGATCAAGTCAAGTGCAGTGGTGAGCAAAACGGCAGGATGTAAGCAGGAACATGACATGGTATGATTTAATTTTGAAAGATTTTTCTGCTGCTTGATGGGGTTGGTGGCAGATGGGCTCAGAACAGCTCCTTAGGGCAGAGGTACCATGCTTGTTGGAACTAGCCAGACTCGAGGGGGAAGAGAGGGCCAGAGCTGAGGGGCATTCCCAATTAATGTTCCGCAGCAACTACATACTCCTTCATACACACTTCTTTCACTCAGGCTTCTTTTCCTGGGTAATGTCATTGACTCCCTTCATGGCCTCAGCTGTCATTGGTAATAAGAAGATTCTCCAGAGCCGTCTTCCAAGGTTCAGGTCCACACTTCCAGCTATCTCCTGGACGTTCCCACTTTGATTTCCCACAAGTCCAAAATAGGCTCTCCCTTTTTCCTACCAACCTTATCTTCCTTTGGAGTGTTTTCCCTAATCCAGTCATCCAAGGTAGAGACCTGGGAATTACCTAGTCCAGGGGTGTCAAACTCACTGTCACCGGGGCCCACATCACCTTGAGGTTGCCTTCAAAGGGCTGAAATAATTTTAAGACTATAAATGTAACTACTTCTGGGCTCCATAGCTCAGTGGTTAGAGCACTGGTCTTGTAAATGTAACTACTTCTTAACTGTTAAGGAGTTGAAATTACATTCAGTCCTTTGAAGGCAACCATGAGGCTGATGTGGCCCCCCGTAACAGTGAGTTTGACACCCCTGGCCTAGTCCTTCCCTGAACTTCCAGCTTTTAGTTGGTCACATGTTCAACCACCATGGAGCTCCTGTGGGTGGGGGTGGTCCAGGAGTCAGGGTGGTGCAGGGACTGGGTCAGCAGCCTAGTGGGAAGTAGGTAGAAACTGGGTCATTGCAGAGCCACATCGAGGGCTGCAAAAGCCTG